GGCGTGTGGCACCGCATTCAGTTCAGTACACAATATCTCAAGTGTGTGTCAACCCCTGTTTCAAAGGGTCCTTTCCACCAGAAGCAAACCGCAGGGGGGCAAGGCCTCCAGCGATGAACTTTGTCCAACGAAGCTAAATCGCTGGAGGGGAAGCGAATGGAGACGTCCATTCGTGTACCTGCAATCGGAACGTTTGATCAAGCTGTGACTCCACTCTCCACGTTTTGGTTTATGGTCCTTCATGATACCTTCCCCCAAACACTCCGCCACTTTCAGCCACTGAGCCACCGTGAGATGCTGTCGCGAGTTCTGCAGAGGTGCGTAAACTACTTGTTAAAACATCTTCAAGTGCTCCGACCATTTCACCTTCCGGTTCCATCGCCATTTTTCCTGGAGATTGAGTTAACTGAAAACCAATGTCGAAGTGTGAGCCGCTCAGCCGTCCCACGTGGGTGCTGGGTGTGGCCCTCCGCAAGGAGGCGCTGTTTACGTACTGGAAATTGAGCCACTGAATCATTTCTCTTTCACTGACTTCCTTTCATCGATCTTTCTCTACCCTGAATTCACTGCACATCGAGCCGCCGGGCTAATACGATGGAAGAACACTGACAGATTATTTCTGATTCCCTGATTGATTTTGCTGTTTGGTTCACGCTTGAGTGTTTCAAGACGCGTTCATGCCTTTTCTACACTTTGTCACGCAGCTGATCTCGGACTTTTCAAGGATGTACAGCGACCATCGTGATTATCACACACTTATATCACTTCACCTCATTGTCATTGCAAGCTCATTTCAATTTCTATCATCTTCTCACGATCACTGTTCCCCACATTGCGGATCATCTCATGCCATCTCATTTCATACCATCGTGGATCATACCTTCACCAATTTTCACCTCACAATCACTTCACCTTCTCATCAGACATCATTGATAGCCGCTGCCCCGCGCTGGAGCCATTGCGCGGCTACTACGACTTTGTCTGACCTTTCGGAGTGGCCTCACAGTCAGCTATGCAATATCCTTGGCCGTACCCATATTGGCCACAACAGCCACCAACTCCCACAGCTCATACACCCGACGCACGCTGCTACACCTCACCTTCAACCACACATGATGCCGACAATACCTCACATGCCTCAGCCAACATGGCAACCTACACCCTTGCCACAATTTCAGCCACCACTACAACTCACCGTGCCAGTACC